GTTAAAATTATGCGTTGACTTTAATTTAGATTTTGATCAACTTTTCTAACTAAACAAAATAGGAATGAAATATATTTTAACAAGGGAATATTTCATAAGAGTTTAAATATCATACATTTTAAAATAAAGAAAACAAGTTTTAGATTTCAAAAATCATATTTTTATTAAAATTTATTTATAATTTAATGAATTAATTACTTACTTCATTAATTAAATATATTTATGTCACAAATTTATACATTTTGATCACAAATTAACAATTTAATTAGTCACTTATTATTTTTTTGTCACAAATTAGAAATTTTATGTTACAAATTATTTTACGATCACAATTCAAAAATTTTGTAGGTTAGATTTTTTGTTGATTGGTCACAAATCAAAAAATTAATTAGTTATAAATTAATTTTTAGTCACAACTTATTTCTCAGTCAAAAATTAAAAATTTTATATATCACATATTATTTTTCGATCATGAATCATAGATCTTATAGGTCATGGATTATTTGTCGGTCACAGAATCAAAATTTTTATTGGTTACAACTCATTTATTTGCAAATTATTAGATTAATTGGTTACGATTAATTTTTCAATCACAACTTAATCACTTGTAAGTCACAATTGTTAGGTTACATATTATAAATTAACCAATTATTAATCACAATTAACCAAATAATTGATAACAAGCATCTAACCCCATCTCATCCTACCCACTATCATAGCAATGATCACCGTCGCTATCACTATTACTGACACAACCCATCTCGAATCACCTTAGTGGACTCGACACACATCGTGTGTCGATGGTAGATACCCGCTAAATGTCGAACCCACCACTAAGGCAATTGACTGTAATGAAATTTTAAAAGATTTTGACAGTCTCATTTGAAATATGGACTAAAATTACCTGAACAATAATCAATTTTCCCAAATTTATACATATAATTTATACTGTGACACTCCAATTTCTCAAAATATTGACAAAATTTACTTTGCTCTACAACCAAAAATCCTCAAATGTATTAAAGATATCAAATATATAATGAGTCCATGATAAACTTTTCTGATTTAAGATACATGTACCCAAAAGAACACATACTGTATAATTTGATAAAGGATGTCATACAACCTATGACATGTGGCTCAATTCGGTGGTTCAACAAGCTCCAAAGCTACTCAATTCGACTACTATCTGATAAAGATAAAGGGTGAAAGAAATATAAGCTTATAGTTCAATAAGTGGATAATATGCAAATAAATATACTTTTTCTTTTATGCATATTTTCTGAAAATTCCTACTCTATTAAACTTTGAGATTCTGAAATCTAGTAACACTTTTAAAAGTAAACATGATTGCATCATAAAATTCTTTGTTCTTCATTCTATATAAGCAACTATAAAGTATAATGAATATAAATAATCTGATATTAGTAAATATAAGTGAAAATACCATTTCACAGTACTATAAGCTGAAATCATTACGTTACAAAATGAATAAACTAAATTCTGTAGTTTGAAATCTGATTAGTCGTATTATACTGAAAATCACACCAAAAAGGCACTCGGAATAAGCTTACTCATGTATCGATTAGTAACGATGTACATGGCAAAATTATTTAATTCTGTAATTCTGGTCATGCGCGCGCAGAGCTGTCCATATGTTATAATCTGGTCATACACTATAGAAACACTTTCATAATAGTGCAGAGCAACTAAAATCACTATAACTAATCATACACTGTAGAAACACATTCACACCAGTGCAGAGTAGGTAAAATAACCATATAAAGTCATACACTGTGGAAACACATTCACATCAGTGCAGACTAGGGTAAAATCACCTGGGTACTTTTTGATGATTTTATAGATAACTTTAATTATGCTGAAATATTTAATATTCATATAACTTGTTAATCAAATGATTTAACTGAACTGAATTTAATTTTAAAAGAAATTAAAAAATCCAATTTATTCTAAAAATCATACTGTCAAATAAACTATATAAAACAAAAAAAAAATTCTAATATAATATAAATTTAACAATTACTAATTTCTGAAAAAAAAAAGTTTGTATTCACTCACCAAGTCATAGTCGATCATGATTTCAATCTTCTTGTCGCCTCACTTTCAAATACGAAATATGATATTGCGCTCTCGCTACAATAAATCATATCCCTTTATAAGATGCCTTGAGTATTTTCCTACCATTAGAAATAATAATTTACCAATGAAAACTTGATATGTTTTATTTTCAATCTCATAATTATGTTTAGGGTCACTAACAACACATACTCATCTACATAAATTATTTTAACATCAAAACCCCAAATATTTAACACTTAATTTTGTTTCCATACTTAAAATCCACAAAATCGGATGATTGACAAAACTAGCACTATAATTCCACAATATTGAAAAGTGGTACCAATTTCTGTATATTGAAATTTGTTATCGAAAACATGGACAGAAATAGTGCTTTTCTCGACAAAATTTCAAAAATAGGACCTATACTACAATAGCTCGAAAATGGTTGGAAAAAATAAAGAATCCAATTTCAAATCCTTAATTTAAGTGTTTAGAATTATATAATCACAAGAATTTTAAAGAATATGCTTTTATCTCACAAACCCATTTTCAAAGTTTCCACTTTCTTCAATCACAATATCCAAATAAACATTTCTTTGCTATATTCTTATTTATAACATCAAATACATATCAATAACACATAATTCTTGCTAAACTTTGAACTAAAGCAAATTTCACATAACCTTTATAAAATTTAATTCAATATACTTGTACTTACCATTTTAAATCAAAAGAGAAATTGAAGAAGTTGAGGACATTAGCTTGAAACCTTCTTCTTCTTCTTTTCCTCTTCCTTTTTCTCTCTTTCTTCCCTTCTCTCTTCCTCCCGACCCTTCTCTTATTTTTTTCCCAAAAAATTGAGAAAATAGAGAAATATGTATGATATTTAATGGATAAATATTGAATAATTGCAAGTCAAGTCCCCCAATCTTATGATATTTAATGGATAAATATTGAATAATTGCAATTCAAGTCCCCCAATCTTCATACAATTACATTTAGTCATTTCATTTCCATAATAGAAACTAAATCCTTGGATTCCTTTATTATATCACTTCTAACCCTCAATCACTTGAAATTTCAATTTAAATCCCATGAAAGTTATTTGTTCAATTTAAATCCTTATTGACTTTGACTTGACGAATTATATTTCTTGACTTTGACTAAAAATAAGAGGTGTGACAATTACCACCACTAGACCTCGCAAAATTAGAATCGCCGCCCAAACACCAACAAAATCATCGTCGCCACCACCTCACTAACATCAAAATTTCCCAAACTCAACGTGGAAGCGTCGTAGTCACCACCACCACTATCTATTTCAACAATCGCCAACACAACCACCTTAAATCAACCATTTCCTTCGGCTCTACCAAAAAACAACAAGCACCACCAATATCACCACCATCTTAGAGCACCGCAAACACCGTAACCACTACAGCCACCACCACCATACCGCAAACACCATAACCGCTACAGCCACCACCACAATTGCACACTCTTTCATAGAACTATCAGTAACAAACAACCACGGTCTCATCAACAAACCACCATTTTCATCGCGGCGGGCTGTTTCGCAGCACCCGTGTGATGATCATGCGTAGTTACTCGTCGGCATCGTTGCTACATTTCTGCTTTGGGCAGTGGCAATCTACATCTCCGAAAGAGTAGGTAGTGAAAAGAGAATAGACAGAGACAGATCGTCGAGGACGAAGAGAATAGAGAAATAATTTGTGGCTTCAGTTCGGCACTCTTAGGTTGAGAGGTGAGGCGACAGAGGGTGTTGTCTGGTTGAGAGGTGAGATCATGAGACTAGAGAGAGAAAGGTAGGTAGGAATAAATTAGGGTTTGAAATTAGATTACATAGATTAATTAATTTTTATATTTGTTAATTAATTAATAACATATCTAATTTTTGAAATAGTAAAGTTGACCTCTGATTTTTTAAATGAGATTATTAAACGTCTTAGATTCTGAAATTTCCTCTTTTAACAATTAATTTTACTTTAGCCTATGGCCAAGTTCTAGACATGTTCGTGGGCTTCGAAAAACAACGTTAATGATGGCTCAAACTCAACGTTTATAACTTTCTTCATCTTTCCTCTTAACGACGAACCATTTATCAAGGGTCTTGCATTCACTCCCTTTATGAGTTACGGACCAAGATCGGGAGCTCTTTCTACATCTCCATTAATCCAGAAAATTCATAATCCGTGCATTTCTTCATTCAGTCGAAGCAAAAGTTCTTCATCTTTAAAGAAATGTTCCCTAGTAAAATAACTTGATTTCATTTGCTTGGTCCTTAAATAATTTCAACTCTATATAATTTATGCATACTTCTGATTGAAAGTCTTGTGTTTCTTTGTAATATTGATTGATGGATCATCATACCGAACAAAATCCGGCCTTTCTTGCTTGGCATGTTATTGGATTTGGACCTCCTCAGATGTTTTATGATAATGTTGCAATGAAATAAATACCTAACCAAGTAGCATGTCACAACCACTTCACCATGCACAACGCAATTTTGCCTTGTTTGATAAAATAGATCGTGTAACAAAAAAGAAATCTGTGTTTTAGTCCATTGACAGATAAAATACTTGACAAAATATCAAAATAAGCTTAGGTAAGTATCTCATGCCTTTCTCGACTGACCCGACTGGAGAAGTCATTTTTGGAAGAGAAAATATGACCCTTCTCGTCTATTTTGTGGAGGTGGAGTAAGAAATTGGAAGGGGCACAAGTCATCTTCAAATTAATAAATGGAAAAGTGAATGCGGTTTGTTTCTTGTTTCTTGAAAAAGAATCAAATTTTCTATCACATCCTTCATAACGTAAGGATTAGAGTTCAATAGGTCGGAGTACTATTATGTTAAAGTAAAAATTGTATCTTGAAATCTTGTTAATCTTGATGAATTCAATAAACAACAGTTTTCAATAAACAGGTATCGCACACTTAATCATCTTGATTGAGTACAAAACAATAAATAAATAAAGTTGGCCGGTGAAATTCAGTTCTTATTAAAGGATTTTGGAGGGATAATTATATTTTAAAATTGAGTATATCCCATTCTCTTGTTCTTGTTAATTGTGCTCACATTTCATCATCATTTTTAAGGCGGATCCCGAATTTTCACATATCTCCCAGTCATTGAAATCTAGCAAATGGTATTTGTGCTCTGTGTTTGTTTCTTCATTTTCCCTTTCCCAACATTTCATGATTTATATATATACAGATGAATACACGAGAAATGATTTATTAAATGACAGTGACATAATACATCAATTCAACAAATCAAATTTATTAAACGTCTGGCCCTACTCGCAACCAAATCGACTTATGAAAATCGAACAAATCGACTTATGAAATTCTAACCAGAATGAATTGAAGTCCTAACCAGAAAGAATCAAACAAATCGAATTATGAAAATCATTAGTTAAAATTAGTTCCAAACTCAATTTAACTAAAATCAACATGCTCAATTCACCTAATTCTTGGAATATGTAAACGACTACAACATGAGAAGCACATTTAAAATTCGACTGAATACAATCTGATGACCTACCATTGACATACATTTCTCTTGGTTGGATATAGTTATACTTAGATTCCAACACCTTATCAAATTAGTTTATTTAGAAATTCAAGATATGATACGATAATGTGTTTTGCCTTCAACAATTGGTACACCTATCTAGTAACAATTGTCTGTCAGAACAGGGGTGGTAGGGGACCCTCAAGGTTGGGGTTCAACCTTTTTTTTTTTTTTTTTTAAGTAGCAATTGTCTGTCACCTATAGGTCTCTTACTAGCCTTCTCGTGCCCCAGCTCTAATCCAAATGACGTGTTCTTCCTTCACTATTCACATCGCGAAATTGAAATTTTTTTGACATTGTCGTTACATACTGCACACTAGGTGTCTTTCATTTAATTCGTTTGACTAAAAATTGATGTTACATTAATTAACTATATTTTCATGATATCATAGTAAATGCACAAACGATGGTCCCTTATGTTATGTTAGTCACATTTATTTCTAGCTTTCAACACAATGATGTTGAGACTTAAGCCAGTCTTCATAGCTTTGTAGCTTTCACTATATCTCTTATTAGATATTTTATGTTGCTTTTCCGAGCACAACCCTCACCCCATCTCCCCTCTGCTTTAGGGTTAGGTGGGTGGGGTTGGTTCTATAATTCAATGCATTATAAAATTTCAAGTCGTTTGAATACGAAATCAATGACTATTGTATAAGGGTTTTAGATAATTCATCTTAACAACTTTGATGTTTAAAAGAGAATTCCAAAGTTCGATCATAAACAAAGAGTTCAAATGAGTAATTGATTCATCTGAAGTATCAAGAAAATAGTTAAATTTCAAGATTCGTGTTCTCAAATGAGTTACCAACTTCAATAGAACCTCTAAACTTTATATTTGGGGAAATCTAATCACGAGAATACTACCATTAATTAGCATCAACATTGGCCATATGAGTTAATGAGATAACCAAGAATCATGCAAATTAGCTTTTTCCTTCCGTGGGCATTAGGTATTGAGTAAAGCGGGATTGAAAAGGAAATGTCCCATGAAGAAAAAAAAAAGTCTGTGTACAATGTTTCTTTGACATTTTTAGAGCTTTTTCTAAAGAGAAGCAAATATTGGACCACGACAAAACATTGTTGGCACATGAAATAATTAAAGTCACGAGACATCCTAAACCCAACTTGCCTACTTTTTAGCTACCTCGTCTTTTCTTATACTTTTAACTTATAAAATTCTTGTTTATTATTATATTATATCAACTTGCTTTTGCACTAAATTATATATATTTAGTACAAACTTTTAAATGGATTTGATACTCATGACCCCTTTTTCATTATAATGAAAAGTTAATTGTATTTTTGTATTGTATGAATGTGTTTATATCACGTCTTTAATCATTTGAGTTAACATGGCTGGAGAATCATAAATAGTTCATGTCTATCTATAGTAGTTTTGATCGATTAGACTTTTTTACTTGTACGCCCAAAAAATAAAATTCTGATCCAAGCCTTTATTTTCCGTTCAAAATTTTTTATCCACACTTAGAATCAAAATTTTTTACCTTTGGTCGTGGCTGATTTGAAATCCACGTCGAATCAAGTAAGGGTCCACCTTGACTTGATTAGAGGAGCCCTTTTCATCAAGAGAATGGACAGATGAACTCGGAACATTGACCAAAGAGTTTGTTGACACAGGTAGACCATGGAAGATATATGTAACCACAAGTAAACTACAAAATTGGGTTGTTGGGGGTGGAAGCTTCAATTGGATCTAAAGATGGTATCAGGGTCCACGATAGCCAACACCCCATGTGAGAATTTGGGCTCCTTTTTAAAGGGAAAGACGAAATCCAAGTGATTACTAAAAGGTAGGCACATTAATTAAGCCCCTAATCTTCTTGTTCTCGATTTGATTTTTAAATTTTTTTTTCCTTTTTTTTTTAAAGCTAAGCACTTTTTGTTGGGAGAAGAATATATTCGTGCTTGCTTCATGAGTCAATATAAAGTATGTTTGGGAGTGATTTTTTTGTCCAAAAAATTGATTTTTTGATCGTTATTTCACTATCACATCCGTCATATTTGATTTTTTCTCTCACAGGTGGACCCCACTTTTCTCCTAACGATCAAAAAATCAATTCTCAAAATCACCTCCAAACAGGCTTATAGAGTATACTCTAATTTGACTCTAATGTCAAAATGTTTGACTAAGTTTTTAAGCTCGCTAATTATTTCTTTTTTCTAAGGCAATAAGTAGTTTGTTATTTGTCAACAAAATTCTTTTTTAGTGAGCTTTAATCTTAACTTAACAGACTCAAAGTCATTGTTTGGTTGCTGCTTTGTGGTTGCAGTCGATCAAATTATAAAACAACGTATGTACAATTGAGATGGAACTATAGTTGCTCAATGGAGGGTTTTTGCCATTTAGTAGAATTTCTTTCATAATTGAAAGTCACAAGATTCTTAAAACTTATCAAGAATTAGGCAGAAATCTCGATTATTTGTAAGAGTCTAACATTTTGCCCTCGACTACTATCGTATGAAGAGTCCATCGGTAACACATGATGATGAATTTGAAACTATGCTCAATGCAAAGAGATTAAAGTTTAGTGATGTTAAGAAAGGGTAATTGGTACAAAACATCCCTACCTTTCAAATTTATTGTGGAAAACATCTCTACCTTCCATTTTTTAACATTTTCGTCCCTACCTTTCATCTTTCTTTGCGCTGAACGTCCTTTTTATCAATTTTTAACGTAAAATGATTAGTATACTCTTCTATTTAAATAAAACAAAAAAATAAAGGAAAAATAAAAAATAAATTGCAACTAGGCCCAAACTTTTAAAAAAGTGCAAATTAGTCACACAAATTATAAAAATATTAAAAAAAAAAAAAACTCTCTCACCTCCTCCTAGCTATGATTTTCACCACATTTTGGCCACCATGGCCACCGGATCACGGTACCAACTTAAAGCCCTTACTGTCATTTACACAACTCACCCAACAGTTGGCCCTAACTCCAGGTGAATTGGCCGGAATTTCTCTCCAAAATTTGGTAGTCGCACAATCAAAACTGTTGGCAGCCCCCTTTTCGACGACTCCCAACCCAAGCCCAACATATTGGTAGATTTCCCTCATCATGATGCATCAAACCATGGTCCCAAAACACCTACTCAACCACCCAATCAACATCTAAAACCAAACATTTCGAACGTAGTCATCACGCAGGTTTCAAGCGAAATTCCGACGTCTATGGTGGACATTATGATTGCGAACCACCATATTTAGCACCATCTCATCACGATGAAGCTATTACAAATATGGGTCTTCAAATATTTTGCACAAATCAAGCAATTGATTTGAAGACAGTTCAAAGTATATAGGTTTAGATCCCCTTTCAGTTGAGTAGTATTTGTATCAAATTTCTATCATATGTGTTTGGAGTTAATGGCAACAGTTGTGGTGTGAGCTCCAATGGTTTTAGCGGTGACAATGATGGTGGTGTAAGGAAGGGGAGGTGAAGAGGATTAAGAAAGAGTTTTTTTATTTGTTATTTTGAATATTTTAATAATTTATTTGGACTAATTTACACTTTTTAAAAAGTTTGGACCTATAGTTACAATTTATTCTTTATTTTTTATTTAAATAGGAGTGTATTTTGGTCATTTCACGTCACAAAATGATAAAAAGAACGTCCAACGCAAAGAAAGGTGAAAGATATGGACCAAAATGTTAAAAAGTAAAAGGTAGAAATATTTTTCACAATAAACTTGAAAGGTATGAACATTTTGTGCCAGGTACCCGGTTAAGAAATAGCATTAAAAATTTTAAAAATAAAATATTCTATTGTTAATAGTTAAATTTTTAGGCTCTAATAAATTAATAGCGTTACCAAAGTCCATATCATCTTCACAAAATTATCGCCGCCTCTCCCTCTCTCTCTCTCATAAAACAAGCGAAGAGCACGCGACCCAGCTCAAAAGAACAGTCCAATACAAACAGAACTTCACCATTCCGTAGAGAGAGAGAGAGTAAAATGTAGAGAGAGAATTTATCTGCTCGCTATCTGTCAAGCTGTGTATGCAAAAATCAACAGCATATACGTACATGTATAAAAGTTATATTGGTTCTATATATGTGCGCATATCTATAACTCGATACAGAGAAATTTTCGAGTTTTTGTTAATATACAGCGGATCTTGAAACCCCAACAGAGAAATCTTCAATAATCTTAAATAAATCATTTAAGAAAGCACTCGTTGGGTTAAATTCGTTGCACATTTCGCCGAAGATTCTCGCGATTTCAGTTCGCATTCAAATTTCGGTTTGTTGCATTCGAAGGAGTTGGTGAAATTAGTTAATTAAGAGTATTGAGAGTTTTTCTTTGGTTAGGATTGGAATTTTCGGGAAATTGATTGACTGAAAAAAGAGTAATAATAGAGGAATGGATGATAGAGGAGGAGGATCGTTTGTGGCGGTGAGGCGAATTTCGCAAGGTCTTGATCGAGGGAACAATTGCCATTCTACTTCCGGTATACCGTATTCCATTTTCTTGTACTTTCCATCTCTCTATATTTTTTTATGTTTCTCTCTCTATCTCTTCACTTTTCTTGTACTTTCCGGTATATACTTTTTTATATCTACATCTTCGTCTATTAGCGCGCGGGGGAGTGACTCTACCCGGGTATATGTATGTATACCAGTATTTATGTGTACACTGAATATTCTGGAGTTCTAGATCTCTGAATTTGAAATTAGTCTAATTCATGCCTACTTGCGTCGAGATTCTTGGTTAGTTTCCTATTTATTATTCTGAATTTGTTTTCAATTATTAATGTTCTTTACTAACACTCATTGAATTACCGGAAATTATTTGGTCTTGTTCTATATGTATTTGTTTCGAATTTTTTTGGCACTTCGTAAATATATTTTTTTTAGCTCGAGGTCTTTCCTGTCACTTTGTAACGGTGCGTCGAGGTGATAATACACACTCTTATGATATGCTTTTGACGCATGGTTGCTAGAGGACAGTACGCCAGTGCAGACGTTTGAATTTCAGTGCTTTAATAGATACTAAATTGAGCATGTCACCTATGGTCTATGGAATAGTTCTTGCCTCGTGTTGGGCTGATGCATAAAAACAAGCTGTATTTTTCTTCTAAACATTTTATATCTGGGACTTTTGTTGTTAGTAGAGCTCTTATTGCCGTCTTTCAATTCCTAATAGTAAATACTACTTGTCATACACTATTTACTTAAAGATTTATTAAATTTTTTTTAGAGAACAAATAATTGTATTTTTTTTACTGCACATGTTTGAAATGAAGTCAGCATGTGACAGAACCATTTTTTCTTCTTATTTTGTAGCTGCAATACAATTACTGTTTATGTTTGCATTGAGGGGTAGTTCAGTGGTTAGGTCTTAAGCTTGCTCCCCGATGATTACCGTTTCGAGTCCCTCGGGGCTACTAAGGTGAGCATCCGGCTATAAATTTCAGAGTACTGTGGGATTAATTGAGTTGCGTGTAAGTTGGCCCGGACACCCATGGTCATATTTAAAAAAAAAAAAAAAAAAAAAAAAAAAGGGCTATACTTGCATTGATGAATGGGCGGAGCATTGCCATTAAGCTGCACATCACCATTCTGTGTTCGTCTGCAGTCAGAAGACAGCATTCGAACACTACATGAATTTGGTTTTTGGATCTACTGCAACTAGACATTGTACTATTTTCAATTGAAATGTAATGCATGTATAAATGCAACCTAACACTATCAAAATTAAGCATATGAAAACTTTCAGATCAGGAGAGGTATTTCTCTCACATAAATGTTAAAATTTCTAATCGTCTTATTTGTTTTTTGCAAGATTTATGTTTGCAGAGTTACTTCAAGTTGCAGTTTTGTTGTCCATATGATATGTGATCTAACATACACCTCTAAAAGATATAATTGCTGGACAGACGTTGGAATTTAGAGCATAATTCTCCCATAGTACCCTTTTATCTAGCCAAGTTGATTATTTTTTTCTTTTGGCTATTGAATATTATGATCAGACCTAGAATGATATGAGCTTCTCATTAAAAGCTACCTACGGTTGAGTTTTTAGAATTGGAGTTCAATCGCATGCAGATAAAACTGTGGTATGTGCTTTTTGGAGGAAATTGACTATTACCTTTTTTTTTTTTGGTCTTTGTTTCTCAGCGTATCTTATTTAATCATAGTCTCTCTAGAGAATTCCTAATTTGCCATGCCCATTTCTTTTTCCAATCATATTCTTTGCCAATTTTTGTTACAGCGGAGGTTGTGGCAGGATCAGCAGCGTGGCTAGGCAGAAGCCTTTCATGTGTTTGTGCTCAAAGATGTGAGAGTGATGCTCACCCATCATTTGATTTGACCATTTTGCAGGTAATTTTCTGGTTGGTTTGAGTTCTTTGAAATTTAGTTTCATGGTCCTTGTCGAGGTCAATTTGTGGGATAGCACGGGGTCTAAAGCAAGTCCTATTTGGATATCAATGTTCAATGTTCTTGACTACTTTGAAGTTGGAACATTGATTTATATGTTTTTTACTCTCCGCACCAAACTGATGAGTTGCATATATGCGTGTGTTTATGTATCAAATACTCGTTCCTGCATAAGTTTGTATTTGATCAACTGAAAAGACTAGTGTGTCTATTGAGTGATTGACTTAATGCAGTTAAAAGAAGTACCTTTCTTCTTTGCTTTTGTTTTGTGCTATTTGATTAATCATCTTTTTGGCCCACGATTCTATAACATAAGCCATTAGATCTTGATGTCTCATTTCATTTTTTATTTCAGGAGGAATGCCTACAGAGGCTACAGAATCGAATAGATGTTAACTATGACAGTTCTCTTCATGAACATCAGGTGTGGTTTAGGGATAGGTTCTGTATGTTTTTTAATACATCATTCTGGCCAGACAGATTGGAGAGGCCTCCCTTCTATTTTAAGATTAGACCGAACTTTGAGGGGTGCTTCTCTTTCTCAAAGAGTAAGCTTTTGTCTATAGGAAGCTCTTAGGGCACTGTGGAATGCAGCCTTTCCCGAGGACGAACTCCAAGGTTTAATATCTGAGCAGTGGAAGGAAATGGGTTGGCAGGGAAAGGATCCATCTACAGACTTCCGGTATGCTATTATTTTTTTCAACTTTCTTCATGTCAAATGCAGTTTTTACTATAATTTTTATGGTGGTTATGCCACGGTTTTGTAATCTTCAAATGTGATATGCTCTTTTTGTTAGGGGCGGTGGTTTCATATCTCTAGAAAATTTATTATACTTCGCAAGAAATTTCCCAGTATGTCTCTCTTTCTCTCTCTCATCTTGATAATGTTTGTTTTCCTGTCTAATGCGTTTGATCAAGCTTATGAACCTTGGTGTAATTACTTGAGAATGGCTCCTTATTGATAATGAAACTTTTATGCATTTTTTTTTTTTAATTGTAGTAATCTGCATATCTAGAAGAATGACTTGTAGTTCTCACGATTGCTCATTTTTATAGTAAATGTTTGCAAAATTGTTGCTTTGTATAATACAAAAGCAGCCAGAAAATTCACTTTATTGCAATTTATTGCCCACCTGAATGGTTTGAATATAAGTTTTGGTCATTGAGATCTTTCTCTGCGTGGGAATTTGATCATGGGCTGCATTTTCATACCTTCTTGCTTTGGACTTTCCTCACTGTCATGGTCTTGTTTCTTCTAACTAATATTGATATTATTTGTTGAACTGAAGTAGATACTGTTCATATGTTTGAATTGATTTCCTTTTTATCTTAAAAATATAATACTTTGTTTTGCTTTTTGATTTTGGAAATTTGGGGTAGAAAGCCTGCATATTGCTACCTGTTGGCTAGAGTGAGGAAAGTTCTGCAGGACCAGAAATACATTAGAATAAGAGGTGGCTTTATGCCACATGGTATGCGGGCTGCTTTGGGAAAGGTTAAGGAACATGCCTGTACATACATACAACCTTCCTCCTTGCCATCGGATTTGTTTGACATTTTTTATGGGGGTTTACAAGTCCAACATTCTGTCTACAGTTTTTCCGTCATTTTTGTTCATCTGCGCTTTTTTGTTTTCCATTCAGTGGGATATGCAGGTCAATGTTTGTTTGCTTCCTAATTTTTCTCCCGCAGAAATCTTTTCAGGAGCTTCTTCGAAAGCAGCAAGGTGATCGGGCATTGTGGGAATACCCATTTGCTGTGGCTGGTGTCAACATCACATTTATGCTTATTCAGATGCTTGATCTTGAAGCAGGTGAATTTTATTTTATTTTTATCTTGTTGCCAGAAAGGACCCGACCTTCTCAATTTTGACAGCAAAGGACTACTATGTGACCAAATAACGAGTTTTGTGATAGTGTTTTCTTTATTGTGGTTACTCCTAAAAATATATGTGGATCCTTTAACACCTTCTCGACCACCCAAAAATAAATAAATAAATAAATAAAATAAAATAAAATATAACCATCAGAATCCAAGATTGACCTTTGTGGAAATGAAAATAATCTTCATCTTTTTTTAATTATAATTGATGAGTCTGGATCACTTACTGATGTTTTGGTTTGTTTTTTTACGTTTCCACACTTTTGCTCATAAAATAGTGGCTTAAGTGTGGATCCAAAATTCTTTTCCATGGTTCCTGGCAAATGCTTTTCAGGGATGTGAATAAATTGCAAGAATGCAAGCAATAGCTTTCCAGATTTCACTTACATGTGCAAACAAAAAGATATTAGCAAAATCTTGAATGATTCGGGGAATAATCCCACAACATAAATGAGATTTTGAATGCTTGATGTTTGTTTCATCAGCTGACATTTTGTCTTACCATTCCAGTGAAGCCTCGAACGTCGGTAGGAGCTATCTTCTTGAAGTTTCTTGCAGGTACTAACCTCCACATCCGCCATACCGAATTAAAGTCTCAAAAGTGTTAATTTTGACATTGAAAGAAGTGTGGATATTCTTTATGTTCTGCTCATTAGATCAAGTAAGCTGACATTTTAGGTGCCCATTTGATTTTTTTTTTTGGGTGGATAACTCACAAATTTGGCAAAAATTTCTTTATTTCCTAAAGGGAACTTGTTAGTGTTAGCTAAAGCATGAATTCTTCCTGCTTTCTACATGTCAGAGAATGAATCAGCATTTGACCTTCTATATTGCATCGCATTCAATCTAATGGACCATCAGTGGCTAGCCATGCATGCTTCTTACATGGACTTCAATGTAAGTTTCTCCTTTTTGTTTATGTGATTAAAAATAGCATCAAATTTACACTTTCTTCTGCCTGCATCCCGTCCATCTTTACCGGTGCTGTAGAAATTTCTGGGTTTTAGGTTTTGTTAACTGAAAATAGGACTTTAGAAAGTGCATCAGGACTGGGAAATGACTGATTATATATGGGTCAATTTATGAAAAACAATGAGCTACTGATATCGTTTTTGCTAATTTTAGGTCAGCCTTTTCTACTTTGATATAGCCACCGATAATGATTCTCTTGTATTTAGAACCTATGAACTACTTCTGTTATTTGTTGTGAAACAATATGACTATTACTATATCATCGTGTGATTAAAAAAAAAACATAGAAAATTATGTAAATTTCTGGTCATATCGGTTAACCAAATTTATCTCTACAGTTTATCATCATCTCTTCAAACTTTTATAACATTTAACAGCGGCACATTTATGATACTCCTTTCCATTTTCTTCCGCTTACATATTTGTGAATGATTCATTTATACCATTGTTTTGTTTTCTTCTGTGGTTCCCTCAAGACTGTGATGAAAGCTACTCGTCATCAACTGGAAACGGAGCTTCTGCAAGAAGACATTACACGCCTTGAAGACTTGCCCTCATATAGCCTCCTTAGTCAATAGTATGACAGCAGTAACATTTTTGGAAGACAAATTGCCTTTTTATGATAGATTTGTGATCTAATGGCAGCTTCTCAAGTTCTGTTGTGAGTCTTACTCTTTTTAGTGCTTTAACTAGATTGCTTCGGGGCTCTCCGATGTTAGATTTGTAGGCCATTGGTCTTTCTTGCGAGTGTGGATGAAATCGAACAAAGTAATTTGAATCGCTATATCGTGATTGCTTCAACTACAGGATATGGCGAAAAAACCAAGTAATTTGAAATTGTTCTTGCTAAGCAAAATATTTTTTAATTACCTGCTTGATCGATCAATGTATTAATAAGTTGGGGTCTGATTCAAACGTGTTATTAATAGATTGCAGATTGGTGGCTCCAATAATCTTCCTGCCAGTAGTCACCATATCCTTACCCTCTCTCCCAAACCATTCCAACAACAGGACCAGAGATAATGTGCTCGACCAGCTTATTGAAGCAGGGCTTTGCAGATAAATCAGCATAGTGCTTCTCAGCAAAAGGGCGATCCACAGCGATGAGCTTCAAACCTGTAACAAAAGAAAATTCATGACGATGGAAATCATAAGTAGAAAATAAATCAAGGCTTTTTTAATAATGTCAGTGCCAAAAGTGTTATCCTCCTCCCCTCTGAACAGGTATAAGGAAAGATTTACATGAAAGAGGGAGAAGCATGTAGAATTTTTTACAATGAAATTTGACTTGAACGTTGCCGTTCATCCAAATGCACTGATTTTCTTGAATGTGAATTACAAGGTGAGATCATTGATGAAGAGGCATGATTAAACAAAAGGAAACAACTTTTGCATGATCACTTTAATTGAACCGAGAAAAGTCTTTTAGAAGTGAAGATACATTGCTCAAATTGAGATACTGCTAGATTTCAACAGTCACGGTGCTTGAATTGGATCATTTACAATGTTCGAGCCATTCCCATATCACTTTGACTAGGTCCAATCTAATATAGGTCAAATTTCAAAAGAATTTATTCAAATAAAATATTTTAGTTTAACCTGAGCCTTGAGCTGAGTTGCTCAACGGTGACCCAAACTTGTGCGGGTCCTTTCCCCTCCATAAAACTTGGGTACTTCTTGGGGCCCAAGCTTATTTTCAAACTCTGTCAATAAAGTTATTAAACTTTCAACACTTATAATTATGGTGAGATTGAAAACTAACTTCTTCCATTCCTTTCTTCTTATTCTAAAGGAAAAGTAAGAATGAAAAATTGAGTCCCTAATTTACTTTTCTTTTAGGTTTAACCAAACAAGCTCTAATTTCATCGGGCAGAATGCCAGAATCCCTTCTTTTTGACTCGTACACTTTCGAAAAGTCGTGGACGGTAATAGATAAGAAGCAATAATTTGAAAGTTGAAAAAGAAAAAAGCTACCTTTCAAGGAGAATACTTTCTTCTCAAATCGGCCAAGGATCTCACCAACCTGAAGCATAACATTAGCCGAAATTTTTAAGCATTTCCATTGCAGAAAACATTAAATCCACTTCATTTCTTCAATATCACGCTAAGATAATTAAACCCAGAAATTATTCTTTTCCTTTTTCCCCTTTTCAAACAAAAATCAATAAGTTCTTTTCTCTTTCTTTAATCCATAATTTCTTCATAAAACTATAAATTTCACAGAAACCCAAAAAAACAAGAAAAAACAAAAAAAAAAAACTTATACAAAAAGTTGCCAAACTCATTCATTTGTTTGTGGGATATTTCTGAGGCAGCTAAACTTGAATGGATTTCTAAGGTTTCAAGGCTGATGTTAGAATCCACGTGGGAGACCTCGAAAGCAAAGGTAAAACAGCCCCAGTAGTCCATTATTGGAATATTCAGTCGGTGAACAGTGAACAGTTTGCTTTCTTGTTTTTGTTTTTCATATTTTAGTACTTTTCCTTTACTAGAGAACACCAAGCATTAGACTCTGATTTTCCTCTCTTTTTTCCCCTTGCATTCAGCATTTTCTTTCTCTGATAATATGTTATAAACATAGAACTTTTCCCTAATGGAAAAGTACGTATTAATTTGATTGATAATTTCAAGATACAGTATGTTTTTTAAGCCTTACATTTCATTTTTCTCTCATTTACGTTTAATCACGCAATTTTTTATAAAATAGTATTATACGTAAATCGAAAAATTCTTTCTTTTTCAACTACTCGTTTTTATAAAAAAAAAACACTATTTCAATCATTGATTTTTCCACAAAATGAGGGGTCAAACGGGAGCTAAGTGATAAATGTAATATTTGAAGTTGGCTGTTGTATCAATGTAAACTTTGATTTTAGTTTACCTTCCTATTTCAATAAGAATTCTGTGGGAGATTTTGTGAGTGGGCCTAAATGGCTTCTTGTGGAGGCCCAACTTTACATCCATTTTGTGGACTTAAATAGGGCCTCTTAAAAGGCTTCAGATCCATGTTATGGACTTTTATTTCTTATTAGAAGCCTAATGTGACATCCAGCAGAGAGAGGATTTTTAAAAATATCATAATTTTTTTTCCAAAATTTTACCCTCCCAAACGAGAATCAGAATCAAGTCATTGATCTGATTAGACTTCACTCTTACCACTTTTAATTTTATTATTTTTACATGATAATTTTAGTTAAATCTTATCTTAAGGTTTTTTTCAAAAAAAATTGAAACACTTAATCCCCTATTAGGTAGCAATTTTTTACAGTTATTTTATTATTTCAGCCATCATTTTTGACTTCTTTACTCACAAGTGGGACCTACTTTTCTTTTTAATGATCAAAAAAATCAATTCTCATAATTATTATAGAACGTGCCCTTAATAAACAACTGAATAAATATTTTAATGTTTTATTTAGTGATCTTATTATTTTATGAAATGAATAAATTAACACTAACCTTACTGTCAGTTTAATTTTATTATTAAATAAAGATTGTAATTGTCGAATAACTAAGCAATTTAATTTCTAGCAGAATGGAAATGTTTATTATGTAATGTTTAAATTTTTACTGAATTTATTTGGTTATATTCCACCCACGGTAACTATACTTTCAATTAGTATCAATCAAGTAATTATACTTCGATTTGTTTCACTTGTGTAACTACACTTCAGGATTTTTATTTATTTATTTTTGCATATATTTTAGTATAACCATTTTTCTCGAAATCATTTTCAAGCACACATTCATAGTACCTATAATTTTTCCAACACAAGGGCTAAATTTGATTTCAATTCGTCTAATAAAATTGATAATATAATGACAATTATTTGTCGACTATTACATCATCAATTTATGTAAGTGGAATTGTCTTAATGGAAATCAAAGTGTAGTTAATTAAAATCAAATAAAGTGTAGTTATGTTGCACATATCTGAAGTATATTACTTAATTTAGAATGGAATCCCATTTCAAATAAAAATGAAAAAATCAAACAACATATTAACAAGGTTGATTTTTAATGCGAACCCCAATCATAATATAAATAAATTTTAAACACTCAAATTTCTATTATTTTAGTAAATAAGAACACATAATTTTCATATTTTCATATAATTATAAAAGTTGTTAGGTTTTATATATTTATCGCTTACTTTTCGAGTGATCATGTAGTATTGACACACTTTTATCACACATGGTCGTCAAATGCAACTTATTCATAATATTTATATTTTGAGTCGAGATTTACTGTTCAATTTTGTTGTATAAATGGTTGTCAATTTAATGAATTATTGACATGTCATCAATAATTAATATATCATCTCAAATTTACGCTCATTAACTTCACAACTAACCGATCAAATTGATAAAATGTCAATAATTTATTTGATGAACGACCATTTCAACAACAAAATTGGACGGCAGATCCCACCTCCTATATTCTCAATTATTAATATGCCATCTATAAATGAGATCATCAATAGGTACCAAAAAATTCTTGGGTGTATATATCATGGAGTTGTTGGTACAGGAATATAAAGTGTTGAACATTACCTTAGGACTCAACCCCCAATTCTGAAGGAACATTATAAACACAAGTGGACAAGAAATGGGGACAAAATAGGGCCCAGCAAATATCTGATGCCACACTCTATCATGATTGAATATGGAAGATTTGAATTGAAGGCTATGATTGTTGCATGGAATTCAGCAGATATAACTACTACCCTCTCTTTCATTGCTTAAATGTTGCAAGGTGTTATCCACTGCTCTCTTCAAATGGTTAAATGCATATAATCATGAGATTTTTGGATGTCCTTTGGTAAACTTCTTTTTCAGATGCCACCAAGGTTTTAGGGATCTATTTGGTTTGGTTTTCATTTGATTTTGTTTCAAGTTTGGAAGTAATTGGATTGCAAATAACAAAGGGAATTGTGTAGTTGATTATATTCTTATTGGTGGAATTTATGGATGTATTGTATGTTAATACTGTCTAGATTTTATTCATTGTTTCCATTACTGATTTCGAACATCATCTTATATCACTATTTTACGGCAAAACAAGAAAAAAAAATATACGCGCGAGTTTTTGAATTTAACTTGACTTGAACTAGATATCTGAAAGTTTGGGTTACGTCAACTATTTCTCAAGTCACATCTTTATAAAGTGCTATATACAATGGGTTGAAAGCCACCGTGCAAACACACGTTCAAGAGATAAGAAAACAACATTCAAGAGAAAAAAAAAAAACGTGAACCTAATATTTACAAAACAACATTCGAGAGATAAGAAAAACATTACTCAGTATTACCATAACTCCATTTAGGAGAAAAGATGAATATGTTCTATTTTGTTGCTTACATGATACATTACTCAGTATTTAGGAGAGAGAGAAATTAAGCCCCTATTTCAGTTTAATTATTTGAAAAAAAATACATTCTTAAAAAGTGTTTTGACGTCATTTTAATTACACATTCTTCAATAAAATAATATCACACGTAAATCCAGAAACATAGTATCCTCTCTTTGGAGTATAGATCAATACATGATTTGGAAAATGTATTCCACATTAACTAAATAATTAATTAAGCATTATAAAAAAAATGGTTTTTATAATGATTAACATAATAATCACTATCCAAATAGTTTGCATAATATATTGATAACTCTTTTAGCAATTAAAGGAACACATTTCATGATGGCTAATATATTAGCCATAATTTTCTACCAAACATTAACCACCATAATTATTAAAAAACGGTTTGATCATTTTATGACGAATGTATGTGCAATCTTCGAATCATATGAAGTCAAAATTAATGTAATGAATGAATATTGTGGTGGTTGACCATACTGAATCACAT